CACGAGTGTGCAGGAGCGCGCTTGCACGCGGGGCGGGTGTGCGTGGGGTGTCCCCCCCCTCCCCAGCCCTTCCCCCCGGGCACGGTGATCTTATCGCACATTCCTGTTTCGCCCTCCCCTTCCCCCCCACCAAATTAACCCTTCACAGCCCTTGGGGGTGGCACCCCCATGCCGCACCCCACGCCAAACCCCTCCGTGAGCCGCGTGGGAACCCCCGCCCCGTGTTTGTAGGGGGATGTACAGCCCAGCATCCAGGCCAGGGGGGTTATTGGGGTGCTCGGTCCCAACATCCCCTCCTGTGCCTCAGCAGAATGGAGGGGTGGGGGATTGCAAAGTGGGGATCCTCCCGCTTTGTCCCCGTCAGCCCCCCCAGATGTGGGTGGGAGCCCCAGAGAAAGCGGGGGCGCCGCGCTGCCAGCACGGCCCCGAGCACAAGGCCCCCTCTGTTCTCCACCCCGGGCACCCGCCCAACCCCAAACCACCCCCCTGCCCCCCCACCTCGCCATCTCCCCCGCACCCCACTGAGGGACCCCCTCGTAAATCGGGAGTGCGCAGCCCCACGGCGCAAACGTCCCCTGCACCCCCCCGGGGGTACCCAGAGATGTCACTCCCTGCTCCACTGCCCCCCAGCTGGGTGGGGACCCCCCCAGGGGCACTCCCCAGACGCAGCGCCCCCCCTTGGGGGGTATTTTGGGACGGTTATTTTTAGGGTGACCAGCGCCACCATCACCCTTTAAATTTAGCTGGGGGGGGGGGATGGGGTGGGAGTGCGGACGGGGTCGGGGGGCACCCCAAAAGCAGGATATAAGTGCCCCTATAAGTGACTCTCACCCACGACGGGGTGTGGGGGCTGGACCACCATGGGTGGCTTTATGGGGTGATGGGAACCATCCCCACTCTGGGGTCACGGGGAATCCCAATTCCCTGAAGGAACAGGGTGGGGTGACAGGGACCCCCCTGACTGGGGCCCCCACATGGGAGTCATGGGGACCCCAGATTCATAGGGGTGTAGGGGTGGATAACACTATGTACCCCCAGTCCCTGGGGGACCTCAAGTCCCATAGATGACAGGCAGGGGGATCCCTAACACCCCATTCCCAGACGGGACAGGGCATGGGGAGAGGGACCCCACCTCTCCTTTGAGGGGACACTGCAACTCCCAGATGGGACAGAGTGGGGGTCCTGGGGTCTCCACGTGACTCTGGTACAGTCTCTTAGGGAGGGGGGCAGGGTGGCACGGATCCCCTGGTACAGGGGGGACACCCCAATCCCTTAAGGAACAAGGGCCCCCACATCTCCTTGGTGTCCTAGGGGACCCCAATTCCGCGATAACCCTGGGATCCCTGTGCCCCCTCTGCGCATGTGGAGGGACACCCCAATTCCTTGAGCGGCCAGAGCACCATGCTGGGGACTCCTGTGCTAGGGGGGACCCCGATTCTCTGCAGGCACAGCATAACTCCTCCAACTCCTTTAGGGGACCTCAACTCCCACAAAGATCCCCAAATAATTCAAGAGAGACAAACTCCGTGGAGGACCCCAACTCCAACAAGGATCCTCAACTCCGAGGAGGGGGTCCTAACTCCTCTAGGGGACCCCAACTCCTTCAGGGGACCCCAGCTCCGTGGTACCCAAATCCTTTAGGAGACCCCAAAATCGTGGGGACCTCAACTCCTTTAAGGGCCTCAAGTACTTTAAGGGATCCCAAAACCACACGGGGCTCACAACTGCTCTGTGGAATTCCCGCTCCGGGGACCCCAACTCCTGCAGGGAACCCCAGCTCCTACAAGGAATTCCAACTCCCAGGACACTGACTCCTTTCGGGAATTCCAGTTCCGTGGGGGGACTCCAACTCCTACAAGAGACCTCAACTCCTTTAAGAGACCCCAAGTCCGCGGGTAGAGACCCCAGCTCCCTTCAAGTACCCCAAATCCTTCAGAGGTCCCCAACTCCTTCGCGGGACCCCAGCTCCAGGGCCCCCAGCTCCTTTTCGGGACCTCCCAGCTCGGCGAGGGGACCCAAACCTCCCGCGCCCGGGTCCCCCGGCCCCACTTACCCTCAGGAGGGTCCCCAGCAGAAGGAGAGTCCCCAGCGCCGCCGGGCCCCGCCGCCCCATCGCCGCTCCTGCCCCGC